AGAGGGAGAAGGAGGAGAGGCCCCAATTCTCGAGGAACACGGGGACTCCGCACTATCATCCAAAGCCTCTCAACACATACCCTTCAAGTTGTCCCAGCTGCGTCCTACGTAACGGCCACTTTTCGACTATCTACTTCTACGCACGAACACCAGTTGCATCGTTGTCATCCGGATCCTCCACCTCCCCACACAGGCCCTGTATGCGGCCGTCACAGCAACCTTTACAATCGTGCGCGCCGCTTGGACTTAGTGCCGCATCGAGAAGCTTGCACAGTTCTCCATCCACGCGCCGCATGGTGTGTGTGTTTATATTAGCATCGCGGCGCTAACCGGTTGACCAATTAAAAGACGTCGTCGTCAGTCTCAGTACGGTTGAAACACGAAACACTTCTATACGCCATTACCTGGGCCCCCGTGAGGGGCAGGCAAAAGCTATTCTCCGGATTAAGGACAGCGCAGTAGCAACAGCGGAAAACTGCTACCTTGCACTCGAGTTCGTTTTGGAGTACTTTCACCATCATTTCTCCTTGCTTTCACCACCGTCACTCTCATTGTTGTTTTATCAGCTATTTTTCGGCGATTCTTCTCTAGCCCTGCGTCGTTTGGTGTGAGTGTGTCTCGCTGTGTCCTTTTGATTGTGAGCATCGACCAGCTTACAGGCTGACCAATGTCGCGGTGCTGTGAGCATGTGCAAGGGAAGCGCGCACTAGGTCTCCGCAAAAATTGAACCGACAACCGCCATTGGTGTCTGAAAACATATCCAATAACCGCTATTGAGGGCACGACCGGTTTAGAGGTTGATAACCGCTACAACGGGGTGCAGCCGTGTCACGAGATTTTATGACCGCTTTTCAGGGCATCCCGCTAAACAGGGCACCGCTAAACCGGGTCCACGACTGTACCCGTACGCAGCCGCTGGATCGTTTGGCGGATGTTCCTTGCAACTAGTTCTCCTGTCTGAGGACCGGGTGGAGCCACGCCCTTCCATGCACTGCCTTCATCCAGCCGCCCACTCCGGCGGTGGTGATCAAACGCTGACTGTTGTGGTTTCGACCCACGATTTTTCCTTCCCGCTCCATCTGTTTCGCTTTCTCGCTTTATCCAAACTTGAATCTCTCATCTACAGCAGGTCGCAAGCGCCAACTTGGTTTTTCTGACCCATTTCACCAAATAATGCCAGTGGTGTTGCGCTTGGTACATTGATTGACAATGAAAGACAAACAAGCGTGTCACAACTTTTGAGCGTAGTAACATGGCCCACTCGAGAATGCTTCGCAGCCATGGGGTTTCACACAGGGTGCAGACGATCACCAAACACGCCTTGTAGGGAGCACACTGCTTCAACGTCCTCCCTACTCTCGGATGCAAATACGGTAGACTTAGCCCGGAAGAAGTGGATTTTTCAACACTGACAAGTGAGAGCTTCTGCCACACCAGTGTTTTAGTCGAGACAGCGCAACATCGCCGTGGGAGGTCCCACCAGACCCCACGAATGAATTGCTTTCGTAAGTATTGTTGAATGGCTGTCAGAAGACAACGGTATACAGATACGGTGTGCAGATATCCCAACCCACCTGCGCCGTCTCTGGAAAGTCGCCCTGAATACCTTTTGATTGTGTACCGGAAACAAACACAACATCAAACGAACCCAGGCACGCTGGTTATGACAACGTACGTAGCCGAAATATCGATGCTATGGACTAGCTTGTTCGCGGAAGTCTACTGCAGTTGCAGCAGCTGTAATAATAGCACTTTTCCGCCGCCGATGCAGCTGTAGGTGGGCCAAGATTGCGAAACCCGAGAATGGACGTCCTACGACGTTACAGGACCAAGCGATATTGATTCTAAAACAAACGGTTGACCCTGTACGACTGTAGAGGATATCATCCATCTCCCTCTGCGGAAAAGTTCCACTACATACGTTCGACTTGTGGTAGTCTAGACTGTGGAACGGCTGCGCAACTTCACGTTTGGCCCTGCGCGGTGTTGCCATGGGATATTCTTCAGGGTGGACGGGTCGAGATAAAGCTGCTGCTGGGCGTTTCAGGCAGCGCGACCTTCTTTGACGTCTTGTTGTCATTTTCTTACGTGAGCTCTCTCTGCACCCGCTCGTCGTGTGTCGTACGCTAATTTAAGTTGCTTCGCCCTGGTGTTCGAGACCTGAGCGCTGAACATGTTCCAAGTGCAAACCAGCAGTGAGTGGCGTACCTGTGACGATACTTGTGGTGTTAATCGTACTACAAGTACGTCCATGTCCTATGCACGCTTTCTACAGGCTCGGGTGGATGTCTTGTGTCTCGTATCGGGGCCGCCGTACACAGATGAATCTTGCCTCTCCCCCCCCCACACAGACGGCGTTGTTTGCTGTTGGCGGCGTTTGCCATAACTGTTATGTGCCTGTGCAGGGCTCCATGAGCACCCGCCGTGGTTCAAGCGCACGCGGAACGAGCTACCGCATGCTGTCCAGTTCACGATGGATGCTGATCCTGGTGAGTACGCGCTGAGCTGTCTCCATACTCTTCGCCGTGGTTAGGATTTAAGTTTTGTTTCCGTTGAGAACGACACTTTGTTGTTAGCTCTATCGGCGTCTTCCATGCTTGCTTCTGCCTGTGCAGGCCTTTGATGAATGGCCTGGCGTATTTGAATGTGATCAAACATGGTTGACTTTGCCGCAATCTCGCCGCGACGGCAGGCGGCCGCGGCGGCGGCGGCGGCATCTACGGCGTCCGAAACCTTAACACATGCGTCGACCACGCCCCCAGCGGCTGCCCCCGTGACCGCTGCAAACCCGGCGCCCCCTTCGCCCGCGAGCACAAGGCCTGCTCCGCCCGTGCCTAACGCTACCGCTACCACCGCCGCCACCGCCGCCGCCACGGCCGCATCCCAGGCGGCGGCGGCGGCGACGGAGGCGGCGATGGCGGCGGTGGTGGTGGCGGCGGCGGCAGCATTGACGGCACCCGAGACTGAACCACCCCGGTTAGGCCGCGGCCGCAGGCTCCTGCGCGCGATGTCGCTCTGGGGCAGCATCGGGGCCAGCTGCAACCGCGTCGCGTCCAACGCGCGCGAAGCTGCTTCTCACGTGAATTAAGAAGCTTCCGAGTGTTGCGCGGCCGCCTCCACCGTGGCCCAAGCGCTGAGGGGCGTGGTGGGGTAGCCGTTCCTTCGGTATCGTTGCAGTTACCACAACGGTACCTCCATGGCAGTTGGCAGGGGTTGACAAGTCGTCTTGTCAAGGGCGTCCTTTCAGGAAATATACTAGTTTTAGTGTGGGCGTTAGTCCTTGACACGTTTGTCAAGAGGGTCAAATCCTGTCAACTGCCATCTTTGTCCCCACCCCCCCCACCCACGCCGCCCGGAGTCCGTGCTGTGGTTGCATACGTGGGGGCTCGATAGGCGGAGGAGGAGGTGTAGACCCTCCCGGGCAGTACTACTACTGTGCCACCGCCGCGAACTGTTGCATGATTGGTGTGCTTGTCTTCGTCCTTGTTTTGTCGTACATACATGGTGTGCATAACGGGATGGATGGATGGGTCGATCGGTGACTGGCCAGGGTTGTTTATCTGAAGAGCAGCATGTTGGATAAAGGACGCACTCGGGAAAATTGGGATAGTGTCTCCGTACCATCGTCGCCGTGCCGCACTGACGTTGTTTCTCTCTTTCTTTGTGCGCGTTTGTGGATGAACGACGTACGTACGTCATCATGATCATGTGCTTCGTTGGCGCACGTTCGTTCATTTGCCGCTCGACGACATCGTGTTGTCTATCTTATTTGGGATAAATATCGTGTGCCGCGGGGTACTTGAGCGGCTGTCGGAAATGATTATTTACTGCTTGTTCATGGACGCGCTTTTTTTTTTTCTTATTCTTTTCTTTTTGTGGATTTGTTTTTGTCCGCCTTTCGAGTCTGGGGGGCTTTTTGACTGCCAGAAGACACCATAGGCGAGGATGTAGCAGCAGCAGCAGGAGCAGCAGCGGTCGTAGTAGCCGCAGGAAAGGGCAGCTTCGCAGGTTGGCGACCTGGGAAGGGAGGGAAAGGGGGTGCGGTCCATGTTGTTTACTTGTTTTGACGGACCCGCCCGTTGTTCGCATCGAAATTAATCCGATGAGCTACTGATGTTCCCAATTGGACGAGGATGGAGACACCTGATACTACGCAGGTTAAAACGCGCATATTGGTCAAAACCCTAAAACCACTTCCCTCAAGTCAGTTGTTTGAGAGCGAAAGTGTGCCTGCCCTGTCGAAGAGGACATGCATACATCACATCCACATCGGCTTGACGGCATTCATCTGTTTTTTGCTTCCTCCCTTGACGCTTGAGATGAAAGAACGGCATATCGCTTCGTTTTCTAGAAAGCAGACGGAGAAAAAGATAGGATAGCTGTCGCTACAACGAGCGACAGCTGATAGATATAACTGTCGTCAGACGTGTGCGTCCACGGGCGGGCGGAAACAGAGCGTAAACACCACACACTTGACACTACACCTACTACTGCTGTGGGCTGGTGTTGAAATTTTTCTGACCACCTGTGACAGGCCTGACAGGTGGATGACGTTGATGTCGGACAAATTTCTCAGCAAATATTTGATTGCCCAGTACACGACCTACCCGCGGCAGCGACCGCGCCAAACGTGACACTCCTGCATGACACCGCGCCACCATGACTACCATAGCGTCACCCTACCGAAAAGGAGTGTGCCCAATCCCATGACTTGAGTGCGTGACAGCGCGCCGTCGTCATGGCACGCAAATGTGTGTGGCAAGGTGGTCTGCAGTCTCATTGTGCTGTTTGTTGGCCGCAAAGAAAGCCGGAATTTACACCCGTTCGTCTA